ACCACAGCTAGCAGCTCACTGGCCACGGTACCATTCTGTTCTTACTGCTACCGTGCATTTGAGTCGCACATTGACCCGGTAGTCACTTGCAAGTTCATCACGCTGGGACCGGTGGACCAGTGGCAGGAGCCCTGACGTGCACTTGACGCTCATCTCATTTGTCCACACTGCCCCAGAACACTCGACCAGCACATTAGCCTATTTGGCCACATATGTCTCCGTAATAATCTTCGATAAATCAACACAGTTTAGACGAATCATCACGACACTTCAGCTGTCGTCTGCGACGACGTCCACCATGTGCTTCTCAGTAAGCTAAGAGCAGGACGGTGGCGTGTGCGTAATTTAGTTTATAGTGTCAAGATAGAGTCAAGAAGACCGGAGGCGAAGGAGGGCGCAGGTGGATGGCGCGGCCGAGCCCGCACCTTGACGTTCCACTACACACCCCCTGGTCCACTCATCAACATCCTCGGTCCTACACATGCGCACTATCATGGGACGTAACTCTAAAACACGCACGTGCACGACACACCATCTCCCTCTTGTAGTGCGAAAGTGATCCACTCTACGGTCCCCATTCTGACGGACGGAACTTCTTGTGAAATAAATAAACATTTCACATACATGAAATGCGTATTCTAAGTCGTGTGTGGCACGCACAGACTGATTCTCTAGTTCTTTCAGCCACTGCGCCCTCCTAGCCTGCGGTCGCCTTGATGCTTTCCTTCAAGGTGGGTAGGTGTTGGAGGAGAGAGTGTGGTAGATGCTGCACAAGACTGTTTCCCTATAAACTTATTCGTGCGTCAAATTCATGGGGATGCGGTGGATGTCCAACTTCTGTATATGAGTCAAACAAGAACTTTGTCTTCAAGGCAGGTTGACAAAAAAGACTGACAAAGAAGATGGGGCCACCGGAGCAAGCAGTTTACTGGCCTAAAGTTTCAAACTCTCACTCGAACCCTTCGTTAGAGAAGGCCGTAGAGAGCGCCTCTTCGCTTCTATTTCGTAGGAAGCAAAACGAAACGGCGAGTAAAAGACCAACGAAAAGTATGATGGCAAACAAATCTGGCAAAGTGTCCGTTGGTAGTCAACCCGTATATCGCACCGGATTACAGCTCTGCAGATAAACTCAAGGGGTCATTGTTGCGAAGTCTAGCTCAGTTTCTCTGGACATACAGTTTCAAGGTTCTTGGGCTGGTTCACTCCCATCGGTGCCGCTGAGTGAGTTTGAAAATGTCCCCTGGTGCCTCATGGACGGGGCCTGCTGATACTGCCCTCTTCTTCAACTCGGAGTACAATGAGAGACCCAGTTTCTTCGTTCGGAACCTCGGCTGTGCTGGGTTGTCGTGATTTCGTAATATTCAAGTCTTACAGAATACAGCTGGGAAGTGTGTGTTGGAGGAAATTGCCAGTTTCAAAATCACACGTCGATATAAAATCACGAACTCAGCTAGGGGACACTGCACAGACTGCAAAGTAATCAATCGGACCGACTTGCGGTCACTCCTTGAATACGACCTCTAGGACAGTCGACTCCTTAAATAGTCTCCATATCAGCCTCTTTAGACTTGGTTTTGGAGGCACCAAGGGTAAAAGAATGCCGAACTTTGCTAACCAGAGCCGTCTAATTGTCCTCAACCCATAGGTACAGCTTTACCGCACAGGAGATGCCCATTAACTTCACTCAAATAACTACGGCTTAGCAGAAAGGCTTTAAACGACTTGTGATGCTCCTGATTGTTATCGTTAACAATATACACTAGTAAAAGTTTTGGGTGACAGACACAATCCATATTCTTTCAAGGATTGCCTTATCATCCGCCAAACTGCAGATAACATGTGACAGTTAGGCCGTCGTTGTGGACGATGTCCCCGTTTGCCCCACGGTATGGTAGACGCAGGGACGGCGACCTGCGCCTGAGTTTTTTTAAAGATAGCTGACTTGCGCTGCATCTACCGCATCCTCTCGTCTCCTTACATCTGGGTCCGGTGTCAATATAGAACCAATAAAGTCGCTGGCGGTATCGGACGCAGGTGGCTGGCACAGCATAGATCCACGCCTAGACGTGCCAACACACAACCAGGTCCACGGACAAAGGACCGGGATTTCACATGACAGGAAAAGGGGTCGGCTCGGATCCAGACTGAATGGGAGAGCCATAAAGACCACAGTAAGTAGGGGTCATTACGGCGTGGATCACAAACCACCAGTCGGCCACTAAATCCACAAGCACAAACCGGTCTGTCTGCGAAGTCTGAGCTATCCCAAAGTTGACAGCTTTTTGGGTGAAGCTTTTTAGCTCACCGTTATAAGTTCAAGCGCGTCAGAGGCTTATAATGAGAAATATGTGCTGAGAGTCGAACACATTCCCTCTTCCCTCTCCCGCACACCAGTTGGTTGTCCAAGTCGGTCAGCCGGAGGGACAGGTGGTAATAGGGGTTTTATGCGTGGTGGCTGGTCGGGATGTACGATACTAGTCGACAGAAAGCCTTAGTTGAGCAGGTGAATGATCGAAGTTGGTTCGCTCTCCGTTCCGTTATTACAAAATGGGTCGCCAAAGGCATTATAGTGGTGACGGACGAGTGGAGGACGTATAATCGTCTTCCCTCAGAAGGTTATCTACATTTCTCTGTTAACCATTCAAAGAACTCCAAGGACCCCACCACCGGACGGCACACCAATGCCATTGAAGCATACTGGAGTAGACTGAAAAGGAAACTCCCCGAGGGAGGCCCTGTATGTGGTCGAGCTGTGTGGGCTCACATAGACGAAGTACAGTATCGTCTTTGGTTTGGCCTCAATGCCATGTCTTTGACAGATGCCTGGGAACTGTTCCTGTCCCCTGTTGTGCAGACTTATCCTATTTAAAAGTGTTTTTGTTATGTAATAAACTGCCATAATGCGAATGTATGTCGTATATCCAGGTGTATGTGTATAACGATGGGGAAGGTTGGGTAACAGCGACCATCGTCCATGCAACCTCCTGCGATGTTCGTTCGACCAGCCTATGTTAGGCCGTCGCGGAAAGTCCAAGTAGTGCGTGAAAGAAGGCCTGCAACCGCTGATATAGTCTGAAGGCGTTTAAGTCCACTGTTAAATGTATTATTTATAGGTAAGGGATTTAATTGGGTGCAATCTCCCGATTGTTACGGACTATACTATAGACGAGTAGAGGTGTTTATTAGAGATTGCAGATATTTTGACTGATAAAGGACCAAGGATAGACAATATGACTGTTTGGCCAGTTTTCTTTGCAGGGAACCACTTCCGATGACTTAGAAACGGTCGGTCAGAAGGTTCCAAAAGCACAGGTGGAAATTATGTAACTCTAAAGTGGGCAGCATGGTAAGCATCTCATTAAGATTTCATTGCATCTGCAAAAAAATCGGGTCCAATTTAATACTATGGGCTTTGAAATGTGAAAAAAATTAACTTCGCTTTGGAAGCATCTGCCAATAATGTGTGCGATCGATATAATTTTCCTACCTATAATTTTGTGCTGCACGTCCCACTGAAAAGACACATTAAGAGGACTAATTAAATAATGCTATGAATTGAGATATTTTATGGATAGGCATTTCAGGCACACTATTTCGGTCGCTTCTAACTATGTGGTACATCGTATGACAAGTACGATAGTGTAAGAGAACGAAGATCGATTTCTGAATGACGAAATTCTGATTGGTGTTGTTCTGTCGGATACATTATGGAGTGTGCAATTGAGACTGTGTGATAGCGGTTGTCACTGATTTGACTAAGGAATTATAAAAACCTCGCTGAACCTTTAACTTACGTTCAGATGTCTTCAAGTTCGAGAAACTTGCTGGGCTAAATCAGAAAATATTTAGAGGACTTTCGATGTTTACTGTAGATTTTGACGTGTTTTGTGCTATATGGGAAGGAATCTATTGCGGTTAAAGGAAACATGGTTCCCTTCAATCCCAAACTTAGCGCTCGTTAGTTGCTATGCATTCACACTAGGCGGTTTGCAAGGTATACGTGAACTTCTAGATATGTGCCGGGAATAGTGCCAACATCCTTTCGGAAAACACGATCTGATCCTAGTCTCTTCACGACTTTTCAACGAAAATACACACAATAGGAATCAGAGAACGACGTGCCTTTGGAAGTTCGGTAGGATTAGTAATAAAAACAACTGATTTCGACTTTTGCCTGTCAGTATAATATGATTTTCTCATCACCAGACTAATATCCCTCCACTTTTAATTTCAGTTTTTTTATTTTGACCCAACTGTGAAAAACTCCGCGCCTCGGGTTTTCCCGGACAATATGAAATATACCTTCCCTTTCTGAAATTGGGACCGGCAGCCCTAGAGCCTCCTTAAAACACTTGACGCTATTTGGTAACATTTCAACAAATCACAGTGACCAGCCGTGATCATCATATAGGCTGCCGGAAGTAGTAAATGTGGCCCACTTTCCTCCCTGTAGCAAACTACTTCCGGCTAATTTTGTGGCCTTGGCCTTAGAAGTTAGGTTTTCCACAAATATTTCCACATATGTGGCTTTTTAGATAGACATGCAACTAGTAACTGTCTTCTAAATCGAAGACTCCTGCCCTCTCCGTGATAATTGCTATTTAAACGCCATGTGTGCCCGTATGCTGGCAGCAATGAGCTGACTTTTGAGGCTAGAGCACGTACTCGAGCGTCCTTTTAGCAACGATGCATCCACCACCCTCCTCTCGACGCCTCTGTCAGCACATGCTGATTTATAGAACTGACCGGCTGCAGTCGGTAAGTTGGAGCGCACGCACGATCATGCCCGGAAGAAGGTCCTGCCCTGTCAGCTACTTGATTGGTTCTTCAGTTTACTGGTTGCTCCTCGTGTGGCAATAAAAGGGAAGCCCTCTCCGAGCATCAGTGTACATCGTAAGTGACGATGCGCCGGCTGCAGTCGCGACTGCCCGGCCTTATCATCTTTAGCTTTGCCATCTACAAAACCACTGAAACCCTACTTCAGACTTCTGTGCGTCTGCAGATTTATCATCTTGTCTGTAGATGGCTCACGAACAGCTCGATGCGCGACTTCCTCTGCAGCCCAATGACGAACCTCCAGGACTGGACGAACTCCTCAGACACTCCGAGCGCCGTATTTGCTTTGACCGAACTGGACAATAGAATCCAGCGCTCTTCTGTACCCTATATTGTGACTTACAGAGTACTGCTAAACCTGCCAGCTATGGTTACCTGTCTGGTGCTCGGAACCCTGTCCGACACCTACGGTCGCAAGGGAACATTTCTGGCTCCCATTGTGGGTGGAGCCCTCGCCTGTAGTCTCTTCGGTGTCAGTCTGATACGTGATATACGGCCGGTTCCGGATAGCGTTTCCTGTCTCCTTATTGGAGCCCTGGTCTACGGCATCTCGGGGAAAAGTAACAGCTTCGGCATGGGTGCAAACAGCTACATTACGGATTGTAGCAGTGATGAAAAGAGAACCGTCTACATCAGTCATCTAATGGGGGCAAATTTCATCGGTCTATGTATCGGTTCCGCCCTTCTCTCTTTCTTCCTCTTTTTCGCGGATTTTGGATGGATCCTTCTTTTTGTTTGTCTGACTAATCTGGCGATAATTGCTCTGATTTTGGTCTTCGTGCAGGAGACCGTAGTTATTCAGTCAGACGTAGGTGACTACGGGTCAACTGTCCGCATAGAAACTAATTGCGATGCCGGGAAGAAGGCAGAAAATGACAAGCCACCTGACATTCTGCAGATGATTTCCTCCGCCTTCACCACTTCCTACAAATTTCTGGTAGCAAGGCGACCCAATGATGTACATATCTACTTGCGCTGCCTGTTCGGCGCCGTCCTCTTCAATCAGATCACCAAGGCAGGGGAACAGGATGCGATCATGCTCTACGTGACGCGCAACCAGGTTGGGTGGTCTGATATGCTATACGGTGCCTACATCGCCGCCTACTACGCTGCCATGGCCTTTCATCTGATGGTTATACTTCCTCTGATAAGCTCTTGCTTTCATCCAAGCGATACGAGCCTCATCCTCTACGGACTGTTTATGAAAATTGGACGTCTAATAGCCACGGCTGTCACTTCTAACACTTACGTGCTCTTCATCTCGGCTGTTCTCGGTTCTTCGGCCGGATACATAACAACAGGGATCCGAGCATTGATAAGTAAACTTGTCAAAGAAGAGGAGGTTGGCACTGGCTTTGCTTTTATGTCGGTTTTGGAAACGTTTTCAAACCTCTTCGGTTCCCTCTTATTCACATCAGTGTACGCCGGGACGCTGTCACTGTACCCGGGCCTGGTTTTCCTCATGGATGCTTTCCTGCATGCTTGCCTCCTTCTCGTCATGATCTGGCTCAGTGTGAGACTGAGGGCTTATTTTGCTGTCACGAACAATACCACGTGAGAGCCGGTCCTCCTTTAAGACCACAGTCTGGAAGTTCAACAGGTAAAACAGTACATTGCCAGGAAAGACATGTAGGGCTATTGTATCCATTCCGCTTCTAAATGGCATCACTCGTTGTCAACTAAAATGTCCTATAAAAAGCCCACTTACTTTCTCTCTTACTTCCTTGGAAAAATTTTGTTTCAAAGGCAACAAATCTTGTTTTAGTTATATGTATCAAGCTTACCTAGGCCAGCTGGTATTAATTCAAATCTTCTTCACGACAACTAGACTGCAATAGTGCAAAAAGGAAACACGTTGTGTTATAAATCAAAAATTTGGTTAAAAATATAACAGTTTTGGCGAAAATATTCATTTCTACATGACATCATCGGATCGAAAAGTCAATTATCCTACTGTCAACTGCACCCCTGAGTGTGGTGTTGGCAAGATCTTCATTTGCACGATTCAATGTTCTTCTGCATATGCTAGTCTGTCAGTCCTGCTTTGTGAGGATAATAATGAACTGAGCGCGAAAAGCAGTCGTTCAACAAGGAATTATTACTTAAGTGGGGATTGAATGCCGCTTTGAATGTGATATAGGTAGAATTTTCTCCTACAATAGTGCATGCTCGTTTTTGACTAAGGATCTTTTCACCCACCTACGCCTCTAACAAGTCAGTGCATTTTCTGGAAAGATCCACATAACCGTCATTCACCTAATCAGTTGCGAGAAATTAGGTAATCTTCAAGTTTTATGCATGAACAAATTGACTGATAAGCTTTCAAAAGATTGTAAAAGCATTTACTTAACTTACTATCCTCGGGTCTATCAGTGCTACAATGAGTGGCCGATCTCATGAAATGTTGGCTGAAATTCTAAAATGCGTTTTTGATTTGGAAGGATTAATTAGGCGCGGCTGCAATACTGATTATCTTGCGATATAATCTTATAATATTTCTGACTCAGCAGGATTTCAGCTTTCGAATGCACTGTTTTTCGACTTCTTACAAAAACCACGATCGGTAAAAGATGGCTACTTATACAGCATGCATTTTTCACATTGATTTTTAACGGCCTTGCAAATTCAGGTATATTTTATAGAAACCACGAATAAAAACATGCCTTCGTTTACTCCTTTGATAGAGAATCACGTCATCTGCATACTTTATACTCGAAGAAGAAGTATAATTAGGTTTCAAAAAAGTTTCTAATTAAGACCGTGCGGTGTCCATTCATACAGCATTGTACATGTCCGTTTACTACTGCTCCTTATGAAATGTACGGCATGGTCCGTATCCATTGCGAAGTTTTATGGACTCTATATGCTGGTTTTATCCAAAGGCATAGAAGATTATGTGATTTTCTTTACGTGGAACGCATGCACCATGTAGACTGAAACATTGAGCACTAATGTGACGACTGATGAGGCTCCAAATTATTCGGGAACTAGAAAACTTTTTTAAAACCGAACTATACTCCTTTTTCGAGTATAAAATATGCAGACGACTTGATTCTCTATCAAAGAAGTAACAGAAGGCATGTTTTTATTCGTGGTTTCTATAAAATATACTTGAATTTACAAGACCGTTAAAAATCAATGTGAAAAATGCATGCTGTATAGGTAGCCATTTTTTTACCGAGCATGGTTTTTGTAAGAAGTCAAAAAACAGTGCATTCGAAAGCTGAAATCCTGCTGAGTCAGAACTATTATAAGATTATGTCGTAGGAAAATCAGTATTGCAGTCGCGCCTAATTAATCCTTCCAAATCAAAAACGCATTTTAGAATTTCAGTCAACAGTTCATGAGATCGGTCACTCAATGTAATTATAGAGTGAGCAACACACCCAACGTCTGTCCCAATATCGTGTGGCGACTAGGAGTCAGAAGTGTACGTAAGCAAGCTATGTGCATAGATTTCAAATCGTAGACCTCAAAAATGAGCAAAACCTAGCTCATGTTCCAAAAATGTGGATGCTTGGTAAACTCTAAGCCATAGAACTACCCCCTTCGTGTGCAAAAGTTGAACAAGATCCGCTTCAGCACAACGATGAAAGCTGAATGTACAGGAGGCAACTGAGGAATGACAAAACCTATGCAGCTTGTCAACTGAACACACTGGTATCCCGATACACTGCTTGCCTCTCCATATGCACCGAATAAGCCTTGCCACGCATTAGCTTTCACATCCAGACTGCAGAGGACTGCTGTGAATTGAACGCAAATGGGACAATGGTTCGCAAAGTCATTCATCTCACTGGGAGGTCCGAGATTCGGTGGAGCAATGAACCAAACATCTTGCGCTTACCATAGGCATTACACCACGCTTTAGGTTAATATTTTGTACATTATGAAAGAATCAACTCAGAATGGTTGTCGACGAATGGAGAAGGCAGCGGCGTCCAAGGTACTGTGATACAGTTATACAGACAAACAACTGGGCATGATGCACGTCACCCCTTCTCTCCTCAGTTGCTGTTCACTTTCAGTGGCGACATACAAAATTGTGCTAGGTCTTACGTTTCAGGTTCAAATTTGATTCCTAGGTGGGACAGCAGTAAGTGAACCCATTCGCATTCGGATGTAATTGTTCCTTACGTCTGGTTATTTGAGCAGAAACAAGAGCCATCCCATAAACTGCTGTAAAAATGTTTTCTTTTCAGGATCTAATTTCTTTTAAATCCCTTGTCAGATGGGGCACTGAATATGGTCCAAAAATGGTTGTTAGTAGTAAACAGCTGGGCAGCCAACGATTTGCCTAGCCTCGTGAACCTGCAATGTGGACGAGATGTCAGCCTTAACCGAGCCGCTTTGGTCGCGTCCCGAGCGTCCTTAATCCATCATTAAGCCGCTAAAACGCAGTCTACGTCCGAAAATCCAATCTATTTCGGTTTTGCTTTCAGATAATCTGACTGAGATCCTACTCAAACGCATAGGATGAAGGCATTACGCAGAAGCTCATCTAAGCCCTAATGCACCGGGGGCTGTCAAATTGGCACTCGCCTTCGCATTTAACCAGGCCTCATGACGCTAGAACTCCATCGACGGAAAACTCAGCTCGACGCAAAACTCCCTTGTCATGCCCAGTCGCAGAGAGGAACTTTCCTTGCCTCATAACTTCTTCAGTTATGATACCTGACCACCCAGCGAATAAGATGATTCAGTTCACCCAGATTTCAATCATAATTCTTTAAAGAACGTTGGACCACTTGCCCTGATTAGGTGTAGGTTCGAGTATATTTTATTAATAAATGCACGAGGTAGACTTCGTTAACTGTTTCTGCTACAGTGATTAATTGTAGATATGAACGCGGCAACCTTAACACTTATCATAAAAACTTATGCTAATGTGAACGGTCCGCCAATTTAACAGGGTCTTTTTGTTGCGATTTTGGTGCTGTGCGGTAGGAAAGCAAATAACCACTTGCGTCGTTTTAAGTGACTTGAACTGAATCCTACTCCTGAAAAATTTTACCTGAGCTACTGTCAATTCCTAGAGCTATAGGCCTTTTGAGGCAGTTGATAATTATTGCAGCTCGATTAAAATGTCTGAACAATTCAACAGCCAGCCTTGAAGATGTAGTAGACCTGTATTGCTTTGAAGAGGTCGCTGGACTACAATATAGAACTTGGTTAAACTTCACCAAAATTTTAATGGCAGTTGCAAAACTTTGGGCCAGATACGGGAGTATGAACCTTCCCTGCTATGAGTAGTCTCGCGCTATTTTCCCTGGCTGCCTACTCACGTATCCTAGCCTTCATATTGACCCTAGCACAAACCCCAACCCTCCTCCCTGGAATCCAGGGCAGGGCCACTTGTAATACGGGGTGCCCGTATTCCCGTGTCCAACCAAAACGCTATTTTCTCACAGAATGGCATAGAACATTATGCAATTTGAAATGAGAAAGAACGCACGTTTTTGGAGATTATATCGCTGAAAAGCATTCTATCAAAAATATTTGCCAGAACCTACATTGCAATTTGCTGGTGGAATGCTGCTTGAGAGTCCAAAGTCAGAAACAGCAATTTAACTGAAGCATTTTGCCAGGCCAAGCCTCACGTAAAAATCTAAATCAACTAACGTGAGCAACTACGAAGTGGCACAGCAAGAGAAGAGAAGAGAAGAGGGAGGCACGATTACTGAAGCGAACGTTCTGTTCGCCTGAGGTTTCGGGCTCATACTCGAATTCATCATTAGAGTCAGTAACAGGTAAGGATAATGTGTGCAAAGTGTTGTAGTATTTATAGGATGTAGTCGGTATGCTATTGCAGACCTATCAAAACTGGTGACTCCCGAACTCGTCGCCAATGGTTGCAACTGACGCGATAATTGCCCTTTTGCCCTTCGTTGACTTGTTAATTACTGCCACTTTGTTACTCGTTTTGGTTATTAGTGAGATGCATAAAGGATCAACTATTTGGCTCACTAACGCTGGCGCCAAGGCCAGTGCTCGTTCACCTTCGCCCCTCGTGGCTAATAACGCGAACTGGCAAAGTGTCAGCGCAGAATATGGAGACGAGAGGTCACCGCGATTGCTAGTCTACTGAGGATCTGAAAACTATGACTCAAACAGTAAGTGGCCTGCGCGGTTTTCAACTCTAGCGAAAATCTCTACCTTATCGGGCCTGAATGCGCGGCCTGATTCCGTCGAATGAGACACTGTTTGGGAGCTGGTGCCCTTCCTCATTACTGCCGTTGCATTCTCGGTCATTCGCGGCCGGAGTAGTCTTCCAGTTTCTCCGACAAGCTTGTTATTCCTACCGCTGCACCAGATCCGGCAAACGACTACAACCATCCCACCATGTCTCTAAAGGTAACCTGCCCTGTCGGTGGGTTTTTAGGTCTCCTGAATCTGCAGACTAATTTTCCTCGAATGCCAGCACCTAGAATCAGTGACCGATCTCGTGGAATGCTAGTCGAAAGTCTGAAATACGTTCTTGTCTCGGAAGGATTACTTAAGTAGGGTTTTAAAAGTAATCGTTTTGCAGCATAATTATATAATAATTCAGATACCTCG